AAATTAATTTAAAAATTTTCATTCATTAATTGTGATTTGATTTTAAATAAATTTTATAATTTAATTATTATATTATCTATAATTAAATAAATAAAAATATAAAAATATAAAAATTAAAAGAAAACGAAAAAAAGTAAAAATGTAAAAAAAAAAAAGATTTTGATCGAGTTGATTAAGTTGATCGAGTTGACTGGATCGAACAGATTTGATAGGACCTGAGCAGGTTTGATCAAGTTTTGACCGGATTTGACTTTTAATGGAGAAATATCATCATCCGGTTCGTTTTTAGAATTGGGTGTGATTCAACCGGTTGAACGGACCGAGCTGGGCCAGGTTTGAAAACCTTTTTGACGTCTTTTGCCGACCATTGTTCATGCCCATTCATAATTGAGCGGCATTTCTTTTCGATTTCAGAAGGACGCGTTTCACATGGAGCTGAGCTCTAGACCCTGAGGCGGAGAAAAATATTCCACTAACATTTTGAAGACGTGGCTATGCTATTGGCAAGAGAAAGGAATCCAAGGAAGAGAAAAGAGAAACAATGAAAGTAGAAAAATATGATATTATACTAAATTAAAGTAATGATGAAATTAAAATAAAGCTCCAATCTTCCACTGTGGTTTCGACGCTAAATATACGACGCCGGCCACGTTTCCCATCATTCACATTTCCTTTCTCTTTGCACAAACATGGATGCGGAAGAGGGAAGAGAGAATGAAAGTGTCAACCTTGCAGATGATCCTTCCAACAGAGCGATGGTTCAAATGGTTCTTCATCTTCTCCCACGGGAGATTCTACTCGATATCCTATCAAGACTACCGATCACCTCTCTGATCCACTTCAAGACCACTTCCCATACCGGCTATGATTTAATTGCCGATCCAAGACTCCCTCCGATGTTCTGCAACCGGGTAAGCAACTCAAACCCATGTCTGATTCTGTTTAACTACAATTCCCGCGTGTCCCAGCAACTCTACTTTTTGGATGGTGAAGGTTGTGGTAGAAGGGTTAGGAAAATCGACCCACCACAGCATTTAGAAGCTTATAAGCTGGTGGGTTCTTGTAACGGCCTTTTATGCGTATACGATCCCACAATCGCCTATCCCACATTCGGTGATTCATGGGCAAGTGACGCTTTGCTAATTTACAATCCTTTTGTTGGAGACGCTGTGAGAATCCCACCAGGGGATCAATTTTTTGAATCAATTGAAGTCTTTGGATTTGGGTTTCATCCGAGAACAGGAGAATTCAAACTGGTCAGGATTGTGTACTATCAGAAGATGATTATAGTAGAAGACCCCGCGCTAGGTGTGGAAGATCCGGATGGAGGATTGGACACCGTTGATGAATCAATGGTTGAGGTGTTTACCGTAGGAACAACAGAGTGGAGAAACAAAGGAGCTCCGCCTCCACCATTGGCGTTTGAAAGCGGACCACCTTCGGCTCTGGTTGAAGGATCTCTCCATTGGGTGACTCTGGTTGGGATGGGAGGAGTCGATCCTATCATTGGTATTATCTCCTTCGAGCTTGCAGATGAGGTGTTCGAAGAAATTCCGCACCCACCTTGTCAACGATTTGTGTCACGTGACTACAGTCTTTCCGTGCTCAATGGGTGTCTATCGGCTGTTGGGTCAGTTGAAACCGAGCATTTTGATATCTGGGTGATGAAGCAATACCGTGTTAAGGAATCTTGGGTAAAACAATTCTCCTTTGATCCCTATTTACCTCGTGGATGGCCAGTTAATACTTCAAGCTCAGTTAGCAGAGTTTCGAAAATTATATGTGCACTAAAGAATGGGGAGATTCTGTTGCAGTATACCAACAGTTCTCTGGTTTCTTATGATCCTGTGGAAAACAGATTCAAGACTCTTCAAATAAGTGGATTACCCAATCAGTTCCAGGCACTTCCTTTTCTACCTTCTCTTTTCTCAGCAAAAGCAACCATGAATTTGCAATCTTAACTTCTTTTTTCTTTTTCTTTTTCTTTTTTTGTTTGTTTTTTCTGTGAGACTCTACTACTGGTTGTTTTAATTTGTGTTAAATCTTTGATCATCAATCAATCGTATGGTAATGTCTATCTTCTAGTCAAGTGCTTTATTTTATTGGTTAAGTTTTATGATCATACCCAAGCCAAGAAAATCTTACCTCTACCATGCCTCCTGTGGTGTAATGAGTTAATCAAAACTCAGTGCATCAGCGACAGCACTGAGGTTGTAGCCACGAAGGATTTTAATTTTAACTACAATTTTATGGATTTGTAATTTTATGAGTAAATGTGCAAATAAGGATTTTAATTTTGTATTTTTTTTATTTAAGGATGTTAATTTTGTCAATTTTTAAATAAGGATGTTAACTTTCAATTTTTTCTAAATAAAGATATCAACTTTCAACTTTTTTTATTTAAAGGTGTCAATTTTTAATTTTTTCTATTTAAGGATTAATTGAGTAGTGATGATAACATGAATAACATATATTTTTAGGTTAGGTATCTAAATTGGTCTCTCAACTTTTATTTTTGAACCAATTCATCCTTAAACTTCAGAAAGTACCAAAAACATCCTTCAACTTCAATTTTCAATTTTGTCTTTTTGTCAGTTAAATGTTGATGTAGGTAATTTTTTCACTAATTGGTTGACTATTTTACATGTTCAATATTAGGTGGAAAATCCATCATTTAAAAGATGATTATGTGGATTTCTTTAATTTTAAATAAATTAAAAACTATTTTAATTCTTAATTTTACTTTATTTATATTTAAAAATGAAAACAATTAATATATTTTCTCATTTAATTAGTCCCAGCTACCATTAAATAAAAGTTAATTAATTCTTCCATGAATTAGGACATAATTTTATTAATTGAAAATTGAAGTTAAAGGACGTTTTCGATACTTTCTAAAGTTCAAGGATGAATTGGTTTAAAAATAAAAGTTGAAAGATCAATTTAGGTATTTAACCTAAAAAAATATGTTAGCTAGCGTCACCACCCAATTAATCATTAAATAGAAAAAGTTAAAAGTTAACATCTTTATTTAGAAACTGACAAAATTAACATTCTTAAATAAAAAAAAATGCAAAATTGAAATCTTTATTTATACCTTTACTCTAATTTTTTCTTAAAAAGTTAACTAAGATATTTGAAAATATTAGTTTATAATATAATTTTAATATTTTAAATAACAAATATTAATTATTTTATAAATTATCAACTGTTAAAAATTTCACAATTTTAATTTTCTTAACAAAATTTCTGTTAGCTATGACCATAGCGCAGCAACAATTGTGTTATTTACATTGTCATGAATGACCTCTGTTACATTCCAACGATTTGCCTCTTTTTCTAGAAAAGCTGTTCTGAAACTATTTCGCTCAATTCCGGACATTTTTTCTTCTGGCCGGCTCCATTTCAAGAACTTAAGAGGGAAGTTACCCAACTTGTGAGATAAGATATAAAGAAAGTCCTTTTTGTATCCACTATGCTAATGGGTTGTCTTAGTTGAGAAAAAATGTTTACCCTATACTTTGTGACTAAAATACGATTTATAGATTGAAAAAATGTCTGCAGTTAATGCAAACACTTTAACTTCATGATTAACAAGATCTTTATAAAGTCACTAATGGACTCAATTAATTATAGGACTAAAATATATATAGTTCATCTAAACAATTATGACAAGAAAATCCATAATCATGAGCTAGGATGAAAATAAATCTTGATACTATTTGGCTAAACTATTTGAAAAGAATATTAAATTTTGATTAATTTAGAGTCGAATTATATCAAATCCTATGAGTAAAATCTTTTTTAGTGTTTGTTTCTTTATTTATAGGACTAAATTGAAAAGATTATTTAAAGAAAATCAAGTATATTCCACTCAAACTAATAAATCGTTAATATATATTTAGTAATTATTATTATTATTATTAAATTTAAAAATCAAAATTTATTATAAAAGTTTATATTTATTAAATTTAATTTAAATATAATACTATTTATTAAATATATAAAAAATAAAAAAAATTCAAAACCTAAACTATACTATACTAAAAGAAACTTAAAAATTTAAATTTGAAGTTTGGAGTTCTATTCTTGAGATATACTCTACATCAATTATTAGATACTACACCCATAAAAAAAAAAAAAATTAGATACTACAGATTATTAATTGAAAATTCACAATTATCAATTATGAGCAATGCGTCAATTATTTGGAGTAATATTGTATTTTTTTTAATAATATCATATATATATTTAATATTACATTATTATTATTATTATTATTGAAAATGTAACATTATTTTAACTGAAATTAAATATTGAAGATGCAACGTTAATTATAAATACTTACATAATTTTTTAAAGGATTTTTCTAACTTGTGCATAAGAGTATCTTTTTGCATTAAATGTATATAAATTAATGTAAAAGTTGATATTAATTTTAATATTATGTGAATTTAATTGGATAATACATTAGTTTTTATTTTTTCAATACAAATTTATACAACTAAAAAGTGTAGTTAATACATCCTAAGAGTATAGGTTAAATAAACTCTTTTTTTAAATTTAATTAAATAAAAGTTAGTAAGTAAATTTTATGCTTTTAATATGAAGTTCATTTAAATGTGTAAAAAAAAAAATCCTTTCATTCATTTTTTTAATAAATTTAATTTAATTTTTATTTTTAAAATATAAAATTTAAATAAAAATTTA